AACATCAATATCATACTCATTATGTATCGGAAATTCAAATTTAACTGGATGTTTTCCTGTATTTTACCTGGCAGCCTTACTCCCAGGTCCAGTATCTCTAACCTAGGACATAATTAGGCTCCGTTCAAGATTGGTATTATCCGGTGGGATATTTGCTCATGCTGCAAACAACCAATCAACATAAGGAAAACTAAAATCACCTTTCGTCTCCTCTGAAGAGAGTTCGCATAGGTAAGATCTAGTACCTGGATCTTGCAGCTTCTGGAGATCTCCTGGATCCCTTTTCCTGACCCCCAGTAGCCAGGCTTATACACTGGCTGGGTGTCACAGCAGGAGGAGTTTCAACACGCTCATAACCAGCACACAGGCTGGTGAGCCCAGGCTGAAGACCAGGCCCCCTCTCCCAAGTCCAAATCCACTCCCCACTCCCAACATTTTGCCACCATCATCTCTGACCTGGACATCTCATGCCCCCTACTGGAGACAGCTGGCCGACGGACTTCCACAAGAAAAATCTGCTACCTTCACTCTGCTGCTTTATGCCTTTCAATGCAATGGTGCCCACTGTCTTAGGATTAAGTCTACGCACCCTATGTGGTTCACAAGCCATTCAAAAACTGGCCTCTGCTCACCCTTCCTGCCACACTGTGCTGCCCATGGCCTTCTTCACTTCACACACCAGCCACAGAAGCTGCCAGCCTCCACGGGAGGGACTGGGCTCACCCTGGCCTGCCCTATCTCCCCCATCCCCAACCGCTCCCATGAATGTCCATGAATGAGCAACTCCCATTCAACATGGCAAGTTCATGCCAAAGACACCAAAGCTGCCATGGGCCGCTCGCTGGGACCAGTTGTTGAGCTGGTTGGGCACCTTGTACCTCTTAGAAAAAGAAAGCCCTCAGCATGATCTATTATGGAGTAGCTCACCTCTTGTGGGTAACCCCTCTGGGAAACTGGAGTGGAGACTACACAAGGCCAGGGACTGCACCTGCCATGGTGGACATCTGAGTCCTAGGGATCCGTACAGTACAGAGTAAGGACTCAGCAAATAGCACACAAATCAATCAAGCAATGATGAAAGTTAAAGCCATGATCCAATGTTATAAGAGTCTAGCTGAGGCCGGCACCGCGGCTCACTAGGCTAATCCTCCGCCTTGCGGCACCAGCACACTGGGTTCTAGTCCTGGTTGGGGCGCCGGATTCTGTCCCGGTTGCCCCTCTTCCAGGCCAGCTCTCTGCTGTGGCCAGGGAGTGCAGTGGAGGATGGCCCAAGTGCTTGGGCCCTGCACCCTATGGGAGACCAGGAGAAGCACGTGGCTCCTGCCATTGGATCAGCACGGTGCGCCGGCCGCAGCGCGCTGGCCGCGGCAGCCATTGGAGGGTGAACCAACGGCAAAAGGAAGACCTTTCTCTCTGTCTCTCTCTCACTGTCCACTCTGCCTGTTAAAAAAAAAAAAAAAAAAGAATCTAGCTGAGTATTCACCCTTAGCCCTTTAAGACTTGCATCACAGAAACACACATACTAATTCAACCATACTAGAAAAAATTTTTCTCCAAAATAGCAACTTGTGTTTGTGGAAATGCTTCAAAATCTCCAAAAAGATAAAATTCAGATTGATGCGTTTTCTTCCTTCTACCCTCAAACAGATATAAGACTACGTAAAAAAAACAGAGGAAGAGACGCAACTGTTTAACACGTCCTAACAATTTCACAGTCTTATCCTAGAACTCCAACACAGTTGTGAGTTAGGAACAAAAACTTCTTGAGCAAACAGAACTAGCACTGTTATTTAAAAGAAATACAATATTTAAGCATGTCTTTATGCCACATCTTGCTGTAAAATAAATTTAAACAAGATCACAAAAACACGAGGGGAATTAATTAAAAGGGTCATGGAAAAACAGAATTAAAAGGTAAGTTTAATTTGCCATAAAAATTTTTTGAAATCCATGTATAATCAGACTCATAACATAACCGAGCAAAAGAAAATTTAAACTAGGAAATCTCATCAGGGAAAAACACAAGTAGAGAGGAAGTCAAGAAATGTGGTTAAAACACAATTTTAGGGGCCGGTACTGTGGTGGAGTGCATCCTGGTACTGCAGATCCAGCATCCCGTATGAGTGCCAGCTAGAGTCCCGGCTGCTCCACTTCTGATCCAGCTCTCTGCTATGGCCTGGGAAGCAGTGGAAGACGGCCCAAGTCCTTGGGCCCCTGCACCCACGTGGGAGACCTGGAAGAGGCTCCTGGCTCCTGGCTTTGTATCGGCACAGCTCTAGCCATTGGAGCCATTTGGGAAGTGAACCACTGGATAGAAGACCTCTCTCTCTCTCTCTCTCTTTCAAATAAATAAATAAACCTTAAAAAAAAAAGGACACAATTATATGCATCGTGGGCCTGCAGATTTGCAGAAGCTGGGTCAGAAACACAGGTCTCACTCATGGGCAGGCTATCCTAGTCACCAGGTCATGAAGATTTTAATATCCTCGTCTTGCCACCCCTGTAAATGTGTGTATTTCCATCGATTGTCTGTTCTTCTCTTTTCTCAGTGCTGCCTTCCTCCTGATACTTCTAAAATCTCATGCTCAAAGTCTTTATTATTCTTCAACTGCTCATCTGAACCTTTTTCTTTTAAAAAATATCCCCAGCTGACATCCTATAGGGTAACTATTTCTTTCCATAGACACTGTCTTATCCTGCGGGGTTCCTGCCGGAGAGTGGCTCCTGGGCGGAGGCACTGGGCCGCACCTGTCCCTGTCACGCCGACTGTCAGTCGTACCCAAATCATCTCTTCTTATGTGTATGTCGCGTTACAACAAAAGTATTTCATACTGTGATGTGATTTACAATTTGTTTTATATAAACACAAAACACAAGGGCTACGGAAGGTGCATGTGAGAATAAAAGGGGCACACTGCGTCCACCCAGTTCTACATCACAGCTGCAAGTGCAGGCAAAAGAGCCTAAAAGCCAAGTCTTTTCCAAAGATTCACGCAGAAAGGTGGAAGGTCTCTACCCTGCCAGCCTTAAGCAGAGGCGCCTGGAACACAGCTGGGTGGTTCAAAGCCGCAATCCCAGGAGCGTGCTTCCTGGATGCATTCAGACTTTACGCAGCTGAAACAAACAGGACTGGAAGTCTGCGTCCGATGGCAGGCCAGAGTGCACTAGAGGAATGTCATAAAAACAACTGCAAAAGGACACTTTCTTGTAACTAGAGGAAAACATTCAGACTGCGTTAGTACTGTGTTAGTACTGACAACATCGAGTGGTCTGCTTCATCGTGTTTAAGAAACTGGACACCACCACCCTCCTGTATGCCCCCCACCCACCTATCGGAAAACAGCCTACGCTTAAACCCGACAGCCGGTGTAACTAAGAACTGTTTTCACGCACCAGTTTCACTCTTTAAACAAAAAATAACAACCATTTCTGTAGTTTTTGTACATCTTTAAGCCGTGTCACTTTCTCCTCAACACTTAATACTGCTTAAATTTTGCTTAAGCTACACGACCATGGAAGAACTGAGGTCTTTATTTGAAACTTAGACGCAACCTTGGTAATGGGCATTATGACTTCCACTTTCCAGGTCAGAAAACTGAGATAGCAACTATACTGTGGCTAAATACTAGCGAGAAAGCATTCGTCACTTGGGGGCATGTCTACTTGATGATTACAGGATGATAACAGCAATTCAAATATGTTTTATTCCTCCTATCAAAAGATCAAATCAATAGAAATAGGTCCCTAGCTGGTGTACTTCCAATCTTCACAGGATTATTTTTTGGGACGGCCTCACCAAGTCGTAAGCATCATCAGTTACAATCCTGAGACCATGCCCAACCAATACCCAGAGAGCAGCTCACAACCTAAAATTCACTCATGACACACAGCACCCTGGCAATTCTGTTGTTAAGGAAAAACAAATAAATGAACATTCTTGTCTTTCCATGTATTGCGCTAGGAAAATGTCACATGTGGACACTTTTACTCCTAGAGAACTGTCACACAAATTTCAGAAAATGTAGCAAGGAAAAAAAAAAAAAAAAAACAAAACAAAAGAAAAAAAAAAAAACAGAACTATTCCATTCTGAGAAGCAATCAGCAACTCCAAACTCGCTCACTTTGAAACGCTGCACCTCCAGGAAAGGCCTCGTGTGGTGACAGGCAACCACAACAAATTCGGCTAATTAATTATGGGCCGGAGGAACACAGGGGCAGAGGTTTTCACCTCCTACGGACACAGGAAAGACTCTCGATTCCTTTCAGCCCGAGCGAAACGAGAGAAATGCAATTCATATTTCCAGAGGCAAGAGTGGCCTATTTTCCAGTGAGCTTCTCGCTCTCGGTTTCCTATTTTAAGAGGCCTGATGACTCCCAGCGTTGCGCCCGGATCTGGTTCCTGGTGGCTGATCATTTTCAAGCCGTGATGCTTTCCTACCACTGTCTCCAAAAACGGTTTTTATTCATACTTCGCCTCGGTGTTATTTATCTACAAAATACCATTTTCGGTGGAGTTGTGCCAGGGGAAGGGAACAGCTTACTAGAATTTCAGTTGACTTTGTTAAAGGAAATTATTTTAAATGAATGTGGCTACTGAACTGCTGCCATTCTTGACCTCAGAAAATATATTCCTGCTCGTTTGGACGGTGAACATTTATTTATTTAAGTTAAATTCCAGCTCGTGAATGCTGACCTTCGAGGAGTGTAAGCCTTCCTGCTACTATTTCATAGGCTTTTCCTAAACAAAAGCAACCACATGTTTGCTGTATTAGTAGGCACAGCCGGATCACCCCCATTAAGTGAAATCATCTAGGTATTTTTGGTAGAATCTTTAACAATTTCCACGCCTGTCAGTGAAATGGAAAGAGGCTGTCTTGTTTTTGCAGGGAGCAACAATTCGATCTCTGGTTTACTACATGGCGTGCAAAACATTTTTCCATATGCCTTTTTTTTTTTTTTTTTTTTTTTTGCAAAGAGAACCTGACATGGGCAGGGTTTACCTTGACCAGTGAATGCAGGCTTTTTTCACCAAACATGTCCCAGAGGAAGGTCAGGTCTTCCTGGCTGTCCACATGTGGCTGCAGCTGTGCTGCTAGAGCAGCCAACAGCTCACACAGACCTATAAAATGAAAATAAAACAGAGCGTCAGCTCAGGGTGATCTCATTAATTTCGCTGAAGGTGTGTGGCAGTGCCGGCTGGAACCCGCCCTCCCTCCTGGACTTGTGCTCTGAGCCGTAAGAGCAAAACGCTTCTCCCCAAGAAGCGAGGGGGGCTTTCTTGATTTTTCAGATTCCAGAGACGTGTGCGTTCAGGGACCAGTCTTTTACCTTCCACTGTTGTCGGCGTGCTAGGTCGTCCGAGTTTACATAACCAAGACAGAAAGCGTGCACAGGTTTTCGAGAAAGAAGAAAAGCGCGCACATTCCTTTCCCTGATTGTTATTACATTTCTCTCCGCCTTAGCCAGAGAGTGCAGTGAGTCACGAATAGGAAAAACTTCCTTAGAAGAGCAGAAAAGCGATCGAGTGGCCCATGAAAAACGGCTTTGTAGTTCCCAGGACAAATTGTGTTCCTATAACACATGGCTCTGAGAACATCTGCACGGTGGAACAGCCAAAGTTCTACCCAGTCAGATGAAATCAACCCACATGGTGCTGGCACTCTGAGTGGGGCGGGGCAGGGCAATTTCAAAGTCTGGCAAGTTGATCTCACACCCCTGAAAGAGTTAAGGTAACAGATGCAAGTGACAGGAGGCGCCCCTCCCCGCTCCTCCAAGCGCCCTGGGGTACACAGTAGTGCAGTGTTCCTCGGTAGCGCGCTACCTAAACCATCCATCTCCATCAGAGGCCGGCAGACTTCTGTCCAAGGCGTGTTGCAACAGGGCTCGCCCGAGACTCTTTAGGGAGGGGACCTGGCAGGAGTCAGCATCAACTCGTAGCACATGTTTCATTTTCCACTGGGATTACAGGAGGTAAAAAGGACAAAATTCCTTTTATTTCTGTCTGCCGTCTACAAAAACAGCAGGACCTCCAGGGATCTCAGCACACGGCACTGCTGTTATTTTTATCTGAATAAGTGGTGCTGTGCATCCGAGAGACAGCTTTACAAGATATTTAACGAGCAAGGAATGGTAACTTACGGGCTGCTGATTGGTCTATGATCTTCCTGAAGCATTATAATATTCTGCTAATCAGTGGGCATTCACCATCAGACACACTGAGGTACCACTTTGAAAATCAGATAGGTTACTTGGGAAATTTGAATAAATTCAAACATTCCTTAGGGACTGTATTTAGTGCCCCCCAACTCAAAAAAAAAAAAAAAAACCACTCTACAAAAAACAAACTTCTCCCAATCTTCGGTGGCTTTCATTTATCCCCTTCCAAACCTGGCATTCTGCCTATACGCACTCTCATTTATAACTTAATAAAACTATTTTTAAGCTATCTCGACCTAACTCAATCTGTAATCATACAGCTCTCATTATATTTTTATATAAATAGAAAAGTAATCAACAATCACCAAGATCAGTTGGCTAAGGTCAAAGGTTCAAAACGTGAAATTATGTAAAAAAGAAAGAAAGAGAAAGAAAAAAGGAGGTGGAGGGGGATGGAATTTCAGTATTTTGTTGCTGACTCCAGGAGCTGTAAAAATAATGACCTATTCCTTGGCAATATGTGACTTTAATTAAAGATACTAATTCAACTGTGAAACAATTTACATGAAATCCTTGTTGGAAGGATTTAATTTTTGATTAAATTCAAACATTCCTTAGGGACTATATTTAGCGCACCCCCCTCACTCAAAAAAAAAAAAAAACCATTCTACAAAGAGGAATGTTGGAAGGATTAAAAGTATAGTACCAAAGGGTAATTTCTCTTTTATTTATTTATTTATTTTGACAGGCAGAGTGGACAGTGACAGAGAGAGAGACAGAGAGAAAGGTCTTCCTTTTTCTGTTGGTTCACCCTCCAATGGCCGCCGCGGCTGGCGCGCTGCGGCTGGCGCACCGCGCTGATCTGAAGCCAGGAGCCGGGTGCTTCTCCTGGTCTCCCATGGGGTGCAGGGCCCAAGCACTTGGGCCATCTTCCACTGCACTCCCTGGCCACAGCAGAGAGCTGGCCTGGAAGAGGGGCAACCGGGAAGGGTAATTTCTCAATATGTACAACCTGGTGAGTTTCAGACGCTGTTATTAATTATTACTATTATTCAAACCTCAGCTCCACGCATACAGAGAGCACTGCAAATAACTTACCTACGCTTGTTTCCCTCGTGTGTTTGAAAAGCAATGGTAACCTGCACTGGCGGTAAAACTGCACAGAACTTTAACTACACAGGGCCGGAGTTATGCTGTAGCAGGTAAAGACACGGCCTGTGATGCTGTCATCCCATATGGGTGCTAGTTGGAGACTTGGCTGCTCCACTTCTGATCCATCTCCCTACTAATGAGCCTGGGAAAAGCAGCAGAAGACGGCCCAAGGGCTTGAGCCCCTACCACCCGCATGAAAGGCCTGGAAGAAGCTCCTGGCTCCTGGCTTCGGTCTGGCTCAGCCCTGGCTGTTGTGCCATGTGGGAAGTGAACCAGCAGATGGAAGACCTCTCTCTCTCTCTCTCTCTCCCTCCCTCCCTCCCTCTCTTAACTCTTTCAAATAAATAAATCTTTTAAAAAAAATGTAAATATACAAACACACATGCACCCACACAAATGAGCACACAGAACACTGATGAAATCTGAATGAGGGCCATGCGTTGGTCCACAATAGGTTGCTACAACAGAATATCCCAGAACAGGTAAGTTACAGGCAATAGAAGCCCATTCGGCTCACAGCTCTGGAAGTCGGGAAGTCACACCGAGGGGCTGGCATCTTTTCAGGGCCACTGTCCTGTGTTATTCCATGGCAGAGGCAGAAGGGCTAGAAAGCCAGCAAGGGCCAGCAAGCACAAAGTGGCAGAACTGACTTTGACAGCAAGGCCGCTCTCACGGTGCGCAGCCCACTCCTATGCTAACAGCATGGATCCATTTATGGGGGGGGAGGGGGCGCTCCCATGAGCTAATCACCCCCTGCTGGATCCCACCCCCCAGCATGGCTGCAACGTGGTTGGGAGTTCCAACACACGCCACATCCAAACCACAGAGGCCTGGCCCAATGACAGCTTCCTACTTATGGTGCTTTCTACTGGAGCCCACTAAGACGTCAGTGCTGGAGGAGATGGGTACGGGCTACGTGGGCTCTCTCTGGGTTGTTTCTTACAACAGCGTGCGAATCAGAACTATCTACTGACCCAGAAGAAAGAACTGCGATAAATACAGCTGTTGTGAGAACCCAATGGAATACACACATGGCAGCGTTTAGCACCATGGCTGGCACCAGTGGAAAGTTGTGCTGTCCTTTTCCTTAATACTGCTTCCACTATAACAAACACGCCAAATCAACAGAAAGGTTCAAAGTCAACACAACAGCTTAACTATACATTCCAACTGGGTACGCTGCCACACTAAGAAATAAGCCACCCTAGTGTTTTACATATGGAAAGTGTTAACTCTACCCAAGTACTGCTTAAGGTTTGTGGGGATAAGCCATATTACAAGGGTACCCACGGCCACAAGGGGTCTTCAAGAAAAAAAAGATGCACAGCTTCCAACAGTTTTGTGACAAAATGAACTTACCTTTCAAATGCAACTTTTCCAGACAAATTTCTTGCATGGGTTTTAATTGATTTTTATTGATTTTTTTTTCTAGCACCTGAAGCTCATGAACCTAAGTTACCAGCTTTTTTGCTACCTTGATGCAGTTCTAATTTCTTTGCCACAATGTGGCACCCTGGGGACAAGAGCAGTTCCTCCCATTAGCTACCGCGTTGGTAACCATGACTGAAGCCGGAAGACACAGGACAGTGCCAACCTGCGGTTCGACACAGATACAGGAGCTCCCAGGCCAGAGGTGTGTGCAGTCTCCATGAAGGTAACCAGACAGCCACTTCAAAGAGATCTGGGAGGCCCTTAAAAAAACTCCCTAGCCCAGGCCGGCGCCGCGGCTCACTAGGCTAATCCTCCGCCTAGCGGCACCGGCACACCGGGTTCTAGTCCCGGTCGGGGCGCCGGATTCTGTCCCGGTTGCCCCTCTTCCAGGCCAGCCCTCTGCTGTGGCCAGGGAGTGCAGTGGAGGATGGCCCAGGTGCTTGGGCCCTGCACCCCATGGGAGACCAGGAAAAGCACCTGGCTCCTGGCTCCTGCCATCGGATCAGCGAGGTGCGCCGGCCGCAGCGCGCCGGCCGCGGCAGCCATTGGAGGGTGAACCAACGGCAAAGGAAGACCTTTCTCTCTGTCTCTCTCTCTCACTGTCCACTCTGCCTGTCAAAAAAAAAAAAAAAAACAAAAACAAAAACAAAAACAAAAAAAAAACTCCCTAGCCCATTCATAAAATGTGTCTGGGTTGTGACACGTGTTTGCAAACGCTCCTGGGATTCAATTTCTACAGTTCCAATAGCAAATTATACCATGAAATCCAAATAGTTTTGGTCCTAGAGATTCAGAATACAAGTAACAGGAGTTTAGGTGGCAGGGTTTATTTTCTAAATTTTGACCTAAACATACTCAGTTCCCCAGCATCCTGTAGCCATTCAAGCTGGTGAAGAATTCATTTCCCCAAGCAGGTGCGGCAGCCATGATCAAACACTGTTCAGGGCTCGCGACCTAAGACACAGCAGCCCTGGCGCCTGTCCTTGGAGCGTGGACGGCAGGGAAGGCCAGCACAGGCAGGTGCACCAGTAACCACTGCTGCAGAGGCAAGGGGCTCAAATCCTGCAAAGGAGGGCCGTATCGTCAGCAGAGGCTGCGGGGAAGGAGGAGCAACTGGGGGGTTAGGGTTGGGCCAGGGTCTGAACGCATCCCCTAAAGTCCACGTGTTAGAAACTGCATCCCTAACACAACAGTGCAGGCAGGTGGGACCCACGGGAAGGTAATGGCCCTGAAGGCTCTGTCTTCAAGAATGGAGAAGGGATGGAAGATCTCTCTCTCTCTCTCTGCCTTTCAAATAAATAAATCTTAAAAAAAAAAAAAAAAAAAAAAAAAAAAAAAAAAAAAAAAAAAGGATTAAGCCAGAGACATAGGAGTGAGTGA